TAAATCTGTTCACTCTTGTGTTTCTCCTTAAAAAGGACCCATGGCCGCCTACATCATTAAACAACAATAGTTAAAAGCTCAATAAACAGAAAGTATGCAAATATTTTATTACAGCTTCCAGAATCTCCCAGTGAGCACGCATGGTAGCCTTGTTGGCTTGGGTGATTCTGGGGCTTGTAATCTTTCCCAGCCGGGTTTGGAGGAAGCACAGTAATAGTTTATAAAATGTATTAACATTGTTTGTGGGTCCCTCTGTACAGATTGACAAATGCATGATGCCAGCCATTAAAACAAGGGCTTGTGCCAACCTCATTCTCAGTCTAATTCCTATTCTCCTTTGCAGGAATTGGGAACCTGTGTCCTCCTGGATGTGATAATTATCTACTAGAATTAAAAACGCAAGATGAAATAGTTAAAGCAGATATGCTAAAATGGGCCCAAACTGTGGGCCACAATATTAACTTAAAGTCATGGTCACAAATATGGGAAGGTAATCTTAAGCTAGCAAAAGCAATTAATTACAAAGAAAATATGTATAAGATGTTCTACAGATGGTATATGACACCTGAAAATTATTGAAAATATATCAGTGCACCTCTAACAACTGCTGGAAATGCGAATCAAAAGAAGGTAGTTTTTATCATATGTGGTGGACTTGTAGGGAAGTGAAGAGCTTTTGGAAACAAGTCCATGAGTTTTTACCAAAAAATGTTATCCTCTATAATTCCATAGGAACCTGAACTGTTTTTGTTGAATATAATACCATATTTGATAGAAAAAGAAAAAAGATATTTGATCACGCATGTAACAACAGCACCAAGAATTTTATATGTCAAATACTGGAAAAAAGAGGAGTCTCAAACAACCCAGGAGTTAATAGGAATTATTGAAGCAGCAGAGATGGATATTTTAACTGAAGTATTAAAAGACAAAGAAATCGCTGAGGCTAGAAAGAAGTGGGAACCTTTGTATAGCTGGATGAGAGATGAGAATATGAAAGGGTTAACATTATGAGAAAGAAAATAGATTTTAAAGGCTTAGAAAAAAGGGTAAGACAAGTATGAAGTAAGCTTAGTAAGAAACATATCGACAAATGTTATAACGATATATACTGTTCTCTATCACATTCTGTATTTTTTTTTATTTGCCTCAGTACCCTGATCCAAATTCCCTATGATCTTCCCTTACCCAATGGAAAATGAATAAAAAATTTAAAAGAAGAAAGGGAAATCAGGCTGGTTGGTGGCAGTAAGAACAGCAAAGATTCTTTATAGCGCACTAAAAAAAACCATCACAAAAAGTAAACTCTTTCATGGATTAAACACCAATTCATCAGGGTTGTACTAGTGTGAAAAACCTAAAGTCCAAAACTTAAAAGTTTGAGCTTTTAAGTTCTTCACACTGGTACAATCCTGATGAAGTGGTGTTTAATCCACGAAAGCACGGTTTATTGTGTGATGATTTTTTGGTGGTCCATGAAGGTATCACCTAATTTTGCATCTGAATATAATTTTGTTTGAACCACACAAGTGCCCTTTACTGCAGTCGAACTAAGAGTCTCGTGGCACCTTAAAAACAATGGACAGGGTTCTGCTCAAAATGCAAGGGCTACTTTAGCTTTTCTGGCTCTGAAAGGTCTCTTGTTCTCCTAGTGATCACGCAACCTGTTGTACAACTGATCTCACAAGAGAGGCATGCAAAAAGGGGAGCCTGGTGGCATTGTGGGGGGGGGGGAGTGCGCAGTCATCCTTCCATGCTTGTGTAATGCAACAGGATTATGGCTTGAGCTTTGGTGGACTGTAGCCTCCTTCAGAATGTACTTAACTGGATTGTAGTTCACAGACCTCTCAGTCTTCAAGATGTCACAAGCCTCTTTATAGTATTTTCTTTGTGAAAATAATAATTGTAGAAGGTGGGGGGAAACGCCTATGGAATCAAGAGGGTAGATCTAGTTGGTTATTGGGAATCACCTCTTGATCATGAGAAACACATCGTTCTCTGGAGGTTCTCAAAGAAAGTTTAAAGAGTTAAAATATCCATGTTAATCTAGGCACTTCTGTTTCTCTCTTTTTTTTTCCTCGACAAGGGTTACCGACACTCAAGTCTGACTTTGCCTCCTTTGGAAGAAACGAGGGGAAGAACATTTGATGGCGGGTAGCCAGAGTTCGGGTGTAAAGAAGGTCACTAGCACCAGCTCCGGTGAGGGATTGGCATAAACTAGATGACAATACAGTGGTGCCTCGCATTACGACATTAATTCATTCCAGCGAAATCGCTGTAGAACGAAAACGTCGTAATGCGAAAATAAAAAGCCCATTGAAACGCATTGAAACCCCTTCAGTGCATTCCAGTTGGCTGGAAACTCACTGTCCCCCAGTCTTAATTCCTATTCTCCTTTGCAGGAATGGGACACCTGTGCCCTCCTGGATGTGATAATTATGAAATAGTTAAAACAGATATGATAAAATGGGCCCAAACTGTGGGCCACAATATTAACTTAAAGTCATGATCACAAATATGCACTTCTGTGTTTCTCTCTCTTTTTTTCCTCGACAAGGGTTACCGACACTCAAGTCTGACTTTGCCTCCTTTGGAAGAAACGAGGATGGCGGGTAGCCAGAGTTCGGGTGTAAAGAAGGTCACTAGCACCAGCTCCGGTGAGGGATTGGCATAAACTAGATGACAATACAGTGGTGCCTCGCATTACGACATTAATTCATTCCAGCGAAATCGCTGTAGAACGAAAACGTCGTAATGCGAAAATAAAAAGCCCATTGAAACGCATTGAAACCCCTTCAGTGCATTCCAGTTGGCTGGAAACTCACTGTCCAGCGAAGATCCTCCATAGGGCGGCCATTTTCGGTGCCTGTACAGCGAGGAATCCGTCCCAGAAAACAGCGGGGAGCCATTTTATTTAGCCGGTGGCCATTTTGAAACCGCCGATCAGCTGGAGGAAAATAGTCGTTTTGCGAAGAATCGGTTCCCGAAGCAGGGATCCTATCATCGCAAAGTGAAAAAAACCCATTCAGACCATCATTTTGTGATCGCAATTGCGATCGCAAAAAGATAGTCGTAATGCGGTTTCATCGTAATGTGGGGCAATCGTAAAGCGAGGCACCACTGTATGGAGGTGGCCTTCAGCTCTGAAAAATTGATCTCATTGAGGGGATGAGTTTTACAATACATAATTTTCCAGTCTCTTTTTCCCTCTCATCTAGGCTACGGAGTTTACTATGCCTCTGTTTGCCTTTTCTGCTAACAGGTGATCGTAGGAGAAAACATTCATGCTCCGTATGTGGGAAAGGTTTTGCTCAGAAGTCGGGCCTTGTCTCCCACCAGAGAGTCCACACTGGAGAAAAACCTTTCAAGTGCTCTGAATGCGGGAAGTGTTTTGCTGACCGTTCAACCCTGACAAAACATGAGAGAATCCACACCGGCGTAAAGCCCTATAAATGCTCAGAGTGTGTAAAATGTTTTGCCACAAGAGCAGAAGTGATAATACACCAAAGAGTCCACACGGGAGAAAAACCCTATCCGTGTTTGGACTGTGGGAAATGCTTTGCTCAACGTTGTCAGCTTGCAAGCCACCGGAGAGTCCACACTGGGGAGAAACCCTACCAGTGCCTGGACTGTGGGAAATGCTTTGCTCACCAGTCACCCTTCGCGAGCCACCGGCGATATCACACAGGCGAGAAGCCTTACAAGTGCGTGGAGTGTGGGAAATGCTTCATTCAGCATTCACAGCTGGCGAACCACAAAAGGGTCCACACTGGGGAAAAACCCTATAAATGTACCGAGTGTGGGAAATGCTTTGCTCAGCAGTCAGCCTTTCTGAACCATCGAAGAATCCACACGGGGGAGAAGCCGTACCAATGCTTAGAGTGCGGGAAATATTTTGGTCAGCAGCCGCACCTCGTTAGCCACCAGAAAATCCATACAGGGGAAAAACCCCATCGATGCTCAGAATGTGGGAAATGTTTTGCTGCCCTCTCGGCTCTTACAAGCCACCAGAGAGTCCATACGGGAGAGAAACCTTATAAATGCACAGAATGTGGGAAGTGTTTTTCCGTTCAGTCCAGCCTGGCGTGTCACAGGAGACTGCACACAGGAGAGAGGCCGTTCCAGTGTTCGGAGTGTGGGAAACAGTTTGCGGATAGCTCAACCTTCACAAGGCACAAAAGGGTTCACTCGGGCGAAAAGCCCTTTAAGTGCTCACAGTGCGGGAAATGCTTTGCGGGACATTCGGGTTTCGTACAGCACAAGAGGGTCCACACGGGAGAGAAGCCCTTTAAGTGCTTAGAGTGTGGGAAATGTTTCCCATACCACGCAGACCTTGCACGGCACAAAAGAGTCCACACGGGAGAGAAACCCTACAAATGTTTTGAGTGTGGGAAATGTTTGACCGACACCACCTCTTTTGTCGGTCACCTCCGCATCCACACAGGAGAGAAACCGTATAAATGTCTGCAGTGTGGGAAATGTTTTGCTTACTCCTCAGGGCTGGTCATCCACCAAAGAATCCACACGGGAGAAAAACCTTACCAATGCTCCCAATGTGGATGGGGCTTTGCTGACCCTTCGGCCTTTTCCAGGCACCTCAGAACCCACCAGAAAGAGAAACCTAAAAAACGAGGCAGGCGTTCTTCCAAGCAATAAAACCTGTATAAACGTTAGAGAATGTGATAAGGTGAGCAGTAGCAGAGCACAACAGAGTTAATAAGCCCTTACTGAGGGAAAAGAGTAGCATTTTCTCCCCTAGACTGTAAGCCCACCTGATATCTGAAGAAAGCTAGTACAGTGGTGCCTCGCTTAACGAGCACACCGTTTAACAACGAATCTGCATAGCGACGCGTTTTTTGCTACCACTAATGCAATCGCATTGTGATGTTTAGATAGGCTAAACATCACATTGCGATGTTTAGAAAATAGCTGATCGGTGGTTCCAAAATGGCCGACGGGTGCAGAAAATGGCCAGAACGGATTAACATTGCTATGCGGGGTACCACTGTATCTGGAAGATAATTCCGCAGCAGAATGGGCCCCTGAAGGCAAACTAAGGCCAGGATTCTGTTACTCTGTACCACTTGCATATCATGCTATTGTGGGTATAGATTTTTGCCCCCAGAACATGCACAAGGAGGTGTTCAGTACTTCCTTGCACTAACGTAAGCCCAGTTTAAGCTTGGAGCATGAAGTAAATGATGATGACATTGTGAGGAAATTTGGAATGAAGGCGATGCTGATGAGGTCTTTGCTCCTGTGTCTTTTGAGGTCTTTGAGATGCAGCTTCACTTGGGATCCTGTGTATTCTTCATTCATTTATTTACTTATTATTTCATCCCATTTCTATCCTACCAGATGGAGGGACAACAAAACAATTTAAAAATCAAGGATAATTGGAAACACAAGTGGATGACTGAAATGCTGTTGTTTAGTGTAGTAAGTCACCACTACTGTAGGCCCATTGAATCAAGGGCACTGACAGAGGAGATGTCTCATCAAATCTTCACTGATTCGATAGGTATACTCTAGTTGTGACTTACAATATTCTCAGTAGGGCTTCAGTGAACAATACTAACATACTGCTAGTTAAACAATTATAGTAGGACCCTTGGGGATCGGTTCCAGGCACCCCCTACAGACGCTGAAAAACACAGATTATACTGAGTGATATACATAGCTTGGTCTCAGGAACCTCTTAATTAGAAATATATATTTTGGAGATTTTTCTTTTACTATTTTTAGTATTTTCAGACCATGGACAAGGGAGTCGGTGGATAAAGGGTCATACTGTCAAACATTTTAGACACACCTCAGATAGAATAAAATGGGCAGCATTCCCCTATTAAAAGCTCCTTTCTTCATAGTGTGTTCTTTTGCATGGGATGAGAACTCGCCAGGATGAAATGTTGCAAGCTTTGACATTGAAGAAAAGGTAAGGGGAGTTCATTATATCTAAGTAAAGTAGGAACTCTTATCCACGGGATCGGGATCTGCTGATTCACGTATCCACGATATGAAAATATTAAAAGAAATTCCCATCTCCAGGAGGTGATCCTGGAGGGACAGAGCTAACGCAACTTCTGCCATACATATGTCATTGACCCAGTTACTGAATGCCTGAAGAATCAGGGTTATCACGTTGCCTAAAGGGCCATGTTTCCGAGACTGACTGTGCCTGTTTACACCATTAGCTGGCCCTGATTCCCAAGTGCCTTTTCTGTGTTCAGAGGAAAGAAAGCATTCTTTTTTTCCTCAGGGCTCAGAAAGGTTAAATTTTTTGTGGGGGGATTATAATTTCAAGCATCCTCAAGCCGGCAGGGAGTTCGAAAGCCCAAAAAAAGCAGCCTCTCTATGCTTTTGTTTGTTCTTGTGCATTTATGATTGAAAAGGGTTTTCGGCCCCATCCTAGTACTTTGGTTCCACTTATCCCAGCCTTCTCTGAAGGAGAGAAGAGAGATGTAGCTGATCAGGTCCTTTGAGAAGTGGCTGAAATTCATTTAATCCTGGTTACTATGGCACCTTGGAGGACTGCAAGCCCAGCACTTACAAAGACAATTATCTTCACTGCTTTTGTATTTTGTTAATTTTGACTTCTTTTTATGTTTGTGATCTTCTAATACTGAATTCCTTACTGAATTAATGGAATTCAGGTACTGTTTAGGACAGACTGCCTCCACACTCCCAATGTATATATTTAGGTAAACTCATCTTTTTGCTTTTCTTGTTTTTATTGAAAATGTATGATGTTTTTTTTTCTATAATTAGTCCCCCGACTCTTCATCTGTTGTATCACAGCTTGACATTTTGTTATAACAACAACAACAGTAATAATAATAATGTGTTATAAAGTCAATTCTGACTTATGGTCACCCTTTTCAGAGTTTTCGAGGTAGAGAAAATATAGAAGTGGCTTCCCATTCCCTTCTTCTGGGGGAGCCGTGAGACCGTGCAGCTTGCCCAAGGCTACGCAGGTTGGCTCTTCTCCCAGAGTCACAGTGGGAAATTGAATTTCCAATTTCTGGCTCTGCATCCAGATAGCCAAACCTCTGAGCTAGCCAATAATTATTATTTAATACAGTTTCCTTGTTATGTGTTATCAACTTATGCAGACCCTAGTAGGACTTCCGGGGTGTGTAGGAAACATATTTAGGGAGTTGTTTCGTTCATTGGGTTTCCATGGCGCAGCAGGGATTTGAACCCAGCTCTCTAGCATCAGACCAACACTCTCTGTACTACACTACACTGGTTGCCACTTACCGCCATTCCATTTAAGTGGAAAGGGAGCAAGAAACAAAGGAAGGGGAGGAAAAGAAAGAAAAAGAGTAAAATACCCATTTTTTGACTTACAAGTGGCTTGTGGATGAAATAGGCAAATCATCACAAAATTTGACACAGGAGGCGCATCCCCAAAGTTGTAGTACTGAGCCACCGGTAGTTTAGTAATGGGAGTTGGAAGGGTCCTGTAAGGCCATTGAGTCCAACCCTCTGCTCAATGCAGGAAGTGTTATCCTATCTCCCCTCAGTCCTCTTCTCTCAGGCTAAACATGTCCAGTTCTAGTCCTCATAGGGCTGGGTTTCCAATCCCCTGATCATTTATGTTGCCCTCTGAACTTACTCCAATTTGTTGGCATCCTTTTTAAAGTGCAGTGTCCGGAACTAGACACAATGCTCAAGATGAGGCCTAACCAGTGCAGAATCCTGCAGGATTAGTACCTGAGAAGATTTCTGTTAGTGCAGGCTAAAATAACACCTGCCTTTTTTTTCCAGCTGCAAAAAGATATATTGTGTCATATATGATTTTTTTTAATGTGGATCAGTTAGAAATGTTACTACATTAAGTAGTATATGAATACAATAAATAATAACATGGGATAACATTTACAATATTCTTTTCACCAAAGAGAAATTATGTAATGGATGTGTTGAATGAATTACGCTTTTCATGTCTTGCTTAATGAATTCTGATCATTAGAAAGTCCAGTTAGAAATAGCAAGACTGCTTGGGGAAAAAAATAGATTGTCATTAAAATTAGTCTGTCGTTGACTTCATTTTGATGGTTTCTGAGTTCTCTGTTTTACACTGTATGTCATTAGGGTTCCATCAGAATCCATAGAAATAATAATTAACATATGTGTGGCATATATTAAGTACACTTCAGATATATTTATTCTTAATGCCGTCGCATTTCAGTTGGTGGGCATCAAGCCCTGATGCGCTCTGTGGTCTTAGTGATGCTCTCTGTGTTGTAAATTCTGCTTTATGTGCTGTGCTTTCTAATTTGCATGCATTAACATTTGAATTAAATCCTAAGCACTCCATTGTAATCCAGTTCTTATCATACGAAGCAACTTCTATGTGTGTTTATTGCACTCTAGTTTATGTTTTTGCTTCTCTCTAATTTGCGTGCATTGAGATTTCTGTTATATTTCAGGAATATCATTGTGTGTGGGTCTCCCCCCCCCATTTTTTAATCACGTAAGTTAATTGTTCAACCCCTCTTATTCTACACCAGTTCAGGAGACATCAAGGCTCTCGAGGAGAAACGGGCCGAATTTTTATGTGGGTTGGAGTTGTCCGCCCCTTCTTCTGCTCAAATTCCTGTCCACCTAAGAAGGAAGGGGAGTGTCTCCAGAGCCAGCCCTGTCAGGGGTCCCCAATTCCCCGGCTGGTCCCGGTCTGTGTCCTTGGAAGGACTGGGCCGCCGAGACAAGTGGGGAGTGGCAAATGAAGCTCCGCCTCTTGTCTGTGCTCCAATTGGCTTTTCATGCCGCTGCTGATCTGACAGGAGGCGGAGCTTTGCTCCCCACTCCCCTCCTCCTCCTGCTAGATCAGCTGTCCCTGTGGCATTAGAATTTCATAGGAGCCTGTGCTAATTAATTTCTAAGCCGCTGCTGATCTGACAGGAGGCGGAGCTTCAATTGCAGCTCACCTCCTCGCCATTTCCTTTATGAGTTCAATTCAAAGCTATTTTCCAATAACCTACTGCATAACAAGTACAACCCCCTCCCCCGGTCCCTTGGGAGAATGGTCTTCAACTAAACCGGTCCCTGGTGTCAAAAAGGTTGGGGACCACCTCCTCAGGTGACCAGTGGTGGGATGATAGTGGCACCCTCCCATGTGATCCTCATGAACATTTGAGGTCTTGGAAGGAGAAAAAAAAGCTATCTTCGGCCCCTAAATAAGTTGGCAAAGATTAAAGTGGAAGCTGTACCTGTCCCAATTATAGAAGACCTCTGAGATTTGTTATGAATAAGCAAATTGTTTGTGAATGGAAAGCTTTTCTTGTGGAGAGCTGTGGTGGGCGGAGGATAGAAAAGTTCCCTTTTTAGACTGCAGCTCCTGAATGACCACAGCCAGTTTTTTGTAGAAGACATAATGCAGGCAGCAAACAAGAATTGGAGACAGGGAGGGGGAAAGAGGCAGCCTACAAAAAGAAAAAAATTCCAACATTTATTCTTTTTGTATAGGTGTTAAAGCCAAAGTCACCATTGTAGTTGAGGACCCAATTCTGGGGCAGCCTCTAAATTCTACAGGCACTCCATTGAGGCCTTCTGAGCCTAGGAAAGTGCCTTAATTAAAAGTCTTCATCTGTTTTAGGATGCTAGACAATTCTACACTTCAATCCCCTCCCAGATCCTCTTTGCAGAGAAGGAAACGGAAAATGGAGATTATTTTGTTTGCATCAGCATCCAAAGGTTCTACCTAATTTTAGTATTCACTATAGTAATAGGACCATGGTATCCAGAGACATATCCTTACACTCAATAGTCTTTTCTAGTTTGTTTGTTTATTTATTTAAAATGTTTTTAACCTGGCCTTTCTCCTTAAAAAAGGACCGGAGGCATCTCA